ATACACACATACACACATACACACATACACACATACACACATACACACATACACACATACACACATACACACATACACACATACACACATACACACATACACACATACACACATACACACATACACACATACACACATACACACATACACACATACACACATACACACATACACACATACACACATACACACATACACACATACACACATACACACATACACACATACACACATACACACATACACACATACACACACACACACACACACACACATACACACATACACACATACACACATACACACATACACACATACACACATACACACATACACACATACACACACACACACACACTCATACACATACACACATACACACATACACACATACACACATACACACACACACACACACACACACACACACACACACTCATACACATACACACACACACACACACACACACACACACACTCATACACATACACACACTCACACTTATTGATATTCAATACAAATAAAAAAGTGGTTCACAAGTTTCGCTTAACCTTTCAATGGTAATGTGTATGTGTTTGTATAGTACAGTAAACCTATGGGACTTTTAATTGGTTTATTTTCAGTGATACTCCCATCAGAATATTCTTTTGTTTTAATGACTTAAAAGCCAAATCGTGTCTAAACAATGACTTTATTGTGCGGTTGTTATTGTATTGCCATTTCATGGATACTAATAATATATTCAGTTTCACTTAAAAGTCTCATTTGATATAAGAAGAGTTACAAATACTTATCAGTTTTCAAATGAAAAAAGTTTAATATGATATTCATCGCTAAAAGGCATTATAATTGTTTTAATTTTATTGATATTTCTTTGACTTTAATTGTTGTTAGTCATGGCATAACTGTATAATATATATAAATTAATTACTGTATATGAAATGTTTTAGTTTTGTGAACTCATATATAAATTAATCATATTATTGCTTACTATTATATTAACAAATGCAATTAAATTTGCAATTTTTTGATATTACAGTATAGTATATTAATTAAAAAAATAATTTGTTTTTTTAATTTTAAAGTATTTTTTAAAATAAAATTTACTTATTTGATCTAAAATATTTAATATTTAATTTGTTTTAGGATTAATTTAATTTAGGATATTAAACTTTACGATTTAATAAATATATAATATTAAGTGATATTACGTTTAAACCTTTTTTCAACTAATCCAATATATATAGTATAAACACATAAAGATTTATTTAGAAAAAGTTTAAATTTAAGTAATTTTAATATTAAAAATTAATGTATAAAATTGAGAAATAAATTAAATTATAAAACTAATTATATTATTTGTTATATTAAAATAAGTTTAAATGTTTGTTTTATATGTACTGTAATACATTTATTTGTTTTATATAAATAATTAATAACTTGTTTTACTAATACAGTTTAACGTTAGACTATATTGCATCACACGGTACTACAGTTTTAACATAATAAGTGTTTTTCTAAAATATTTAAATGGATGAAAAATGTCACTAAAAATATAAATAATTTATACATAAATTTTTTAATTCAAATTGCTTTTATAGTTAAATTTCATTAAATGAATTTTCGCATGATTTGTACGAATATTAAATAAAATTACTAAAATTGGATATCATAGGGAGAGGGAGGCTAAACAGTATGGAAGGCATCAATTTTCTATATATATATATATATATATATATATAATAAATTTATATACATATATTGAGAGAGAGAGAGAGAGAGGAGAGAGAGAGAGAGAGAGAGAGAGAGAGAGAGAGATTGTCTTTATTAGAGACAAATTAGTTTTGCAAATCGTTTGTGTAAATTAAGGCCTCGTTGTGTCGCATATACTGCATGAGCTCATGTAGTGTTGTGTCTGTTGGGTCGGGTCTCTCACTATATCAAAATGCTGTGTACTAGAAGGTGAAGCATAGACTTATATGTCTGAATTTGGGGTGAAATCTAAATTGTATGCAAATAAGCGCTCTATTAGTTTATATATGAATGTCTTTTTGTCAGCGGCACTGGTGGTATAATTGGATCGCACAGTGCACTGCAAATATAGCATTGTTGTGGCCATTTGGTTTGGTTTGGTTTTCACATATCTATTCCTCTCCCTATCCCTATGCTTACCATTTGAAGTCTCGCAGTAAGCAATTGACAATTCAATGAAAATTATATTGAGTTAGATTTAGTGAGTCACTGGTCTATAGCCTCACCTCATTAAACCAATTGTCGCACCTGTGGCCCAACAGTCCATAAGCTAGAGAAGCTGTATATATTTACTAAAATATAATGTGAAAGAGAGAGAGAGAGAGAGAGAGAGAGAGAGAGAGAGAGAGAGAGAGAGAGAATACAGGGCTTATTGGTGTTGAATTGACTAAAAAAAGAAAATTTATTTTCTAACAATTCATTTATTTATAATCACAACAATTGTTAAGATATCCGACACTTTATATTGTCTCTAAAAAATGTTACTTTACTTTATACAAACATAACTCAATAAAACATTGCAATTATATTAACTTTTCTTTATATTGTCTATCAAATTGTGAACAACGAATGAAATGATATATAAATTTTTTAGTTTGTATTCACATTTCACAAGAAATTAGTTTTAATATTTAATGAAAGTTTTATAAAAAAAAACTAGAAAATAGTTTATTTTGTTCATCAACCGAGTCTTTCAATCAAATAATATGATGTAATCGACTACAACCTGTTATGTCCTTAAATTATATTAATATACAGTGTATATACTGTACTAAAACTATATATATATATATATAATGCGATCACCAAATTGGACAACCATTTGACTGGAAGCGGTCCGTGAAGTGCACATACAATACATTAGTATTCAGTGAAGTCATGCTTACATTTAATTCCATTATAAGAGGCAATACTGTGTGCATATGTATTGAATATATACACAAAAATATATGCAAAATAGTGAACATATATAGAGATGAATTTTGTCGATTCGGTACCATATATGAGAGGTTATGTATATATGTATATAAGTTTACATTTATTGGGAGAGCAGATGGTTTGCATAACAACATTATTAACTCTATATTATATAAATTTATGCATCAGTTATGGTCTTTACTACCACTACTACTACAAAGAGCTGTTCATTCAATATTTGTTGTGTGTGTGTGTATGAGAGAGAGAGAGAGAGAGAGAGAGAGAGAGAGAGAGAGAGAGAGACCTCACTTCAAGATCATGTATATGACCGTCGAGAGAGTTGGTTCCTAATGTCAGGTCCTTATGTACCAACAAGTCTCACACAAATGAATGACAACTACCGGTACTCTTATTGTGCATATATTTGCATTGAATACATAAACAATTATCAAATTATCTATTGATTAGCTTATTTATTAAGTATTATTATTATTCTTATTTAATTTAAATATTGCATATAACTTCAAACATCTAACATAAAATAAATAAAGAAAAAATTATTTGAATACTAAAAAATACATTAAAATTTCTTTTGTGTAACAAAATATGCATTAAAAAAAAGTTTATGAAACAGTAATTATATCTTTTACTGTATATAAATAAGAAATATTTATTTCCTATTCTATTACTTAAATACATAATATAATATATTAATGAAAATTATTTTATTCTTTATACAAATATTTTTGCCAAATTAAGAATATAATATAAATTATTTCATTAATATTTAGTGAATAACAAATCAAAATTAAACTTTAAACTTAAATATTAAGTTTTGTTATTTATATTTAAATTTTATAAAGCGATATCTTAAATGTATTAGAATTCATGTTTATTTTAAGATATTTAAATATTAAGTTTTTTATATCTTTATTTTCCCTACAGTTTTGTTAAATATTTAAATTATATTTTTTAAATATATTTCTTTTTCATTCACTATCTATTTAGATGTCATTATAATAATGTAAACAAATTTTGTTTATTTAATAAAATATATAATTTATAAATAAAAACAATTTTTATTAAAATCATTATTTCATATAATTACAAAAAACAATATTTATATATTTTATATATATAATGTGAAATAAAATAAAAATAAAGAAAATAATTTTATACAAATTTTTGTATTATTAATAACATTAATTTCTTTCAATGATTCATACAATTATTTTATAATTTTATATATTTTTATAAATCTTCATACATATAGATTAGATATACATTTATATATCAATGTTTTATTAAATATAATATACTAATACTGTATAAGAAATATAATTTGTGGCACATTTTAAGCATTTAAAGAAAAAATGTTATTTTCACAAATTTTGTATATATTATTATTGACATAAATAATGATTTATACAGTAAATAAAATCAATGAAATTGTTTATTTCTTAAGCACCAATTAATGATATTAATATAAATTTATAATAAGTATCTTAAAATTCATATCTCTAAATAAAAATTACAGAAAAAATAAAATGTTATGAAAAATGTTAATTCATATTAAAAATTTATGTATTATGTAATATTTTTTCAATATATATATATATCTATATATAATATGCATATATTTATGTACTGTATATTTTGATAAAATACAAATATAATACATGTATATATATATATAAAATGTAATAATTATTATAATAATACATTAATAATAAAAATTATTAATAACTGCAAACTCTTTCTCCTTTCTCTTTATAATTATTTTTAAATATAATTCGTTGTAAAGTTTGCCTCAATTTGTAAAATAAAAACTTTATGAAATACATTTACACTATTTTATATAATATAATATAATTATAACATATTTTATAATATAATATTTTCAATTAAGCAATATGTGCGTTAATATCAATAAAACAACAATTTTTATCATTATAATGTATTTAAAGTATAATGTAAATATAATTAATATAATAATTATATACATATATAATTATGTTGTTATTTATTAATGAATTTAAATTGATCACCGCTTTTGATCATTTGGTCGATGACACTATCGATGATCCGTATGACTGGCCATTACATGTGGGCAAAGCAAACGGATTCATCGCTGCAAAAGGAGAGGCGGACACTATACTACTCATACCTACAATTCATTACAACAATTATAATATAAAAATATTAATAATTATTATAACAAATCATTAAAATAAGGAAAAATACCATTGAAAAGACCGGGTGAACCGGGAACAGGTGTTGACATGTTGGTCGGCGGACTACCATAACCACCATTCATTGTACCGGCGGTTCCATTGCCACCATAACTACTTCCACCACTACTGCTATGAGGTGTCGATGCATTTGAGCCGTAGCCACGGCTCGGCGATACACTACTGGCCTGATTTCTGTTGTAATCTATTTTGACCAATAAATATACAAATATTAATATTTAGCTCAGATATAAATCAATCTTAAATTATTTCAACAATTCAAACATAATATTATTGTAAAATAAAAATAAGAGATATTCTTTGGAAATGTGCAAAAAAGTAGAGAAATATTAAAACTAAGAATTAGTTGAAAAAAGCTAATCAAACGAATATAACGAATACCATTATAAACATAACAATAAACATGTGATGGCATCGGTTTATGGGATGTGTTATAAGCGTTCATTCTGTCGTAACATGCATTGGACTGTGGGTTCTGGTGATAGAGGGTCTGATCATTGGTTTGGCAGCTTAGCTGACCTGCACTGGCCGCGTACGCAGCGTTGAATCCCGCAGACATGGCGGCAGCGGCCGCAACGTTGTTCAAAGCACTGGCTGGCGATCTCGGAGCCGGAAGTCCAGTCAGTTGTGACGGTGTGTTACGAGGCATACTATAAAGTGCTTCGGCTAAATCGGCTGCACGTTTCAATATTATTTCCTAAAATAAATAAAATTCGTTATGTATTGTTTGTAATTACATAATATGTTAGAAAATTATTTATAATTTACAAACCTTTGGCAGTTTTTCGGGATCTCCCGGATGTCGAGGAATAAGTTTGGCTAATCTCAGAAATCCGTGGTCTATGGTTGGCTCGTTTAGGGCTATTTCAAAAAGATTTAATATATTATTATTTAATTTATTGAACACTCACTTTCTCTCTCAACCATCACTCCCTTTCTCTTATCTCTCACTTATTTTCACTCATTATTATATCTATTAAATGCTCGTATTGTAAGAGAAACATATGAACAGAATATTAAATGAATTCATTGGTAACAATGATAGCACTGATAAATGAATTCAATTTTGAATCCCATTTTCACATAAAATTTTTGGTATACATCTTCTTATCAATGCTTTTGATCTTATTTTTAAATAAAATGTATTTTCTCTCACTTTATTTCATTATTATTCAATGGCTTTTATTTCCACTGTTAATGTCATATAAACATATTTATAAATATATATAATGTTATATTATATCCATACTATAATTTCAAAAATATAATAAGTCTATACAATATTGTATTGTATATAAGTTTTTTGATATAAATTTGAATATATATTTTGAATTCTATATCTGATTTTTTGAAAACCAAAGATTCTGATACTGTCTTATATAACATAAGAGTTTAAATTATATATTTATAAAAATAAGTTATATTTGATATAAACCAATCCCATAGAGTGTATGTCTGTTCATCAAAATAATTGAATTTTGAAAGAAAATAATCTCTATTTTTCTTTAGTTTAAAAAATGCCTTTTCCTTTGAGAAAGAAAGAGAGAGAGAGTATGTGTGTGTATATGTTTAGATAGAAAAACAAATTTCTATTTTAATAATAAATTAAGTGATGAAAAGTCAAAAGTTTTGAGTGATTGCAGTATTTATAGTTATTTTTTAAACAAATAATTAAACGATTTATTTATTACATCATCGGCTCATTTATTAATGTCATCACTTTTGTTGGTTATCATAATGTTTATATATATATAAATAGTTTTATATACTATGCAAAATAAACAAATATACCGTACACTTACAAACATAGACAAATCTGCCCGGTGCTCCCTTACAAAATTGCTTAGACTTGTACGATAAGGTCACCTCAACGACACCCGGTATATGTCTGGGAGGCGTTTGTACTTTAATGGCGTGAGCGGTGACAAACTATTTGATAAAGAAAAAGTAAAAAACAATTTAATTTTCAAATACATATCGATATGTTAACCGAAATCATACCTCACTCCACACCAACATTGTTCCGAAGACAACTTGTAGACCGTCGAAGAAATTATCACCGATTATAATAACAGTTGAACCACCAGTAGTCCAGCCCTCAGTCGGACTAATGGCTTTAATACATGGTGTGGCCGCAAACGGAACTGTAGGTTATTAATTGCAATGTATTTCAGTTATTCAAAAACCATTCAATATTTAATTCTAAAATTTAAATATAATATAATGACACTCTATGTTCACACACACACACACACACACACACACACACACACACACACACACACACACATACATATACTTATAACACAATGTACTGTATTGTACTGTACTGTAGTGCCAATAATAGTTATACACTTGTGAGTAAAGAGAAGTACAATACGGGGTAAGAGTCAACTAATGTTAATATTGTGTTCATTGATAAAACACAACACGTCTACAAAAATTGTGTCTTTTGTTATGTATTGGTCCTAAAGACTCGGATCCTATTACTGATTGCTGTTAAAAGTTTTTCATTGATTACAAAATTGACTTCAAGTAGTTTTGTGTCACCAATTTGTTTCTCTCTATCGCTTCCTACCAGAGCTCACAAAGACATATACAAAAATGCTAAGTTCACAATGCATTGCATATACAGTAGATATACAACTTTACACACAAAATAAAAATTTGATTTTACTGTATTTGAAATCTATATATATATATATATATATATATATATTTATTTAATACATTGAATAGATGTTTATATAATACTATAACCCATACTATTGTATGAATGAATTGTCAACTAATAATTAAATAATTTAATTGACATAATGACAATACCATTTATTTTTAAAAGTTTATGTCTATAAAGTTTATATATATACTTAATATATATATATATTCAAAATATATAAACTATATGTAATTACTGCATATATTGTCTATAAAACTACCGTACCTTCCGAGGCATCCAATCGTTTAGCTCTTCGGCCGTGCTTTGAGTTGTTGTGGACAAACATGTTGTCCGATAGGGCTAACGGTGTCGACTCGACACTGACTACAGTCGTTATGATAACCTATAATATTTATGATTATATAATTAATATTCATATTATTCATAAAAGTTAATCATTAATTAAAAACTTTACACAACAGCTATATCTAAAATAAATATTTATGAACCAAATATAAAGTAATGCATTTTAATCACATATGCATACTCTCTAAATGCTTATATTTGCATTATATCGTAGCTATAATTATTATCATATATACTGTATTTTATTAAATTAAACAACAAATAAAGGCAATTCAAAACATGTTATTTAATAGTTTGTTAACATCTATATAATATATATAATATAAAAAACATCAATTTGTAGGCATACCTGAAATCGTCTCATGTCTCGAGGGTTTCCCGCGTTTTTCAAACAGTTTTGGTTGCATTTCAGAAAAAATTTGAGGAAAAATCTGGAAATAAATAAATAAAATATACATATATTTTTGTTTAATATTTTATTAAATAAGATAAAATTATAACTACTAAAAGTTACATTTAAAGTAAAATTTGATATTTTTATATAAAATTAAATAAACCTTTGACAAAAATAATTATTAAATCCAATTTAAATTTTATTTTGCATCATATTTTTTACAGTAATTTATAATTGATATGAATATTGGCAAGACTTTTAGCATATAAAATATGAATTAAAAATTGTCTAAACTTTAGTATTAAATAATATAATCAGAGAAAAGGATGATTGAAATACTGGTCACAAATATATTGTAATACAATTATTCACATAAACTATTGAATATATGTGCCATTACTGTGTAATATAATATATTGTAAAATTAGTGTTTCAAAGCAAAATGATTGACTAAAATTAATGTATGAATATATGCAAAGACCTAATTATAGAAGGATTACCAGTAGTTATATTAGTTGTGACAATACATGTATTACTATTAGTAGTACTGCTAAACATGAATCATATAAATATATATCATTTGCAATGCTAACTGTGCAAAAATATTGTATTATAAACTGTAACAGTCAAGTGAGTGCCACCAATGTTGGCATTTATATCAATTTGTCTCGTATTTAGTGCTCGTATAAAATCACTGACAAAACTACTACTACTACTAGACTGTGTGTAAATCTATTGCTATTAAAAGAAAGGTCTCTCCCCTTAACTACCATATCATCTCTTTTGGTATATAATCCGTGCATAACATAGTGTTTTCATTGCATTAATCGGTTGAAAATGCAAATCAAGAAGAAAATAAAAGATTATTCCCTTAAAATTGTATACAGAAATTGATAACAAAATTCAGTGACTACTCATTGAAATTGAGAAGTTTCATCTCATAATATATATATATATATATATAGTGTAAAATTGATTGAAAATAAACTACTATTTATGCGCTATACTATGGGCCGAAAATAAATATATAAGCCATAAGACGGATAGACTGTATATTACTATTACTACTACTATTTTGGTAGAAAGTTGTTAGTGAATGTAAAACTATGCAAATCCACATCCATTTACGCATAATATGCATCACTTTATAAGTGCTAAATAAAGAGATAGATTTGTATAATACAGTATATTCTATACTATATATGGAAAATAAGATTCAATATGTTTATTATGATATCATACATAACACTTGCAATGGAAATATGGTTCCAATAAATGCAAATATAAATACTAATAGACTTTTTTTAAAAATGCATTACAAGTTTATAATAAAAATATTGCATATTCTGTCATTCAATGTTTATATGAACCGACTTTCATTTCAATGTCGATATCAGTTATTATAAATGCATTGTATTATACTATACAAGAATCAGTAGACACCATCAAACTTGTGTACACAATATTGTGCAGTCAATAGTGAGTGAGTGGGTGAGAGAGGGAGAGTGAGACAAATAGAGAGTAGCATCAAATCAAGTGTAGACCCTCTTTGATTAGCCCTATATATCCAATGTCTATTTAGCCCATCATCCCAGGGGACAGAAGCAGCGCATCAACGCTATACTACTGTATGGACTGCCAGTGCATCAGTCGATGTGATGGTGTGTATGTGCTGGTTGTGTATGTGCTGCAAACACGATGATAACAAGCATACTCTCACATAACATTTGTATGAACGGGTGAATTTTACTTTCACATCACATCCCAATCTCTCACTATATCCCTCGGCTCTCTCTCTCTCTCTCTCTCTCTCTCTCTCTCTCTCTCTCTCTGTTCATAAATGCACAAAAATATACAGATCACTGAGTTTATAAAGCATGCCTATGCCTAAAGCATAGATGGATAGTCCATACAATGCAAAGTATAAATAATTCTATATATATATATATATATAACTTATCTCACTGTTTCTCTATTGATTTGTCCATAAATTGAAATCATAATCTTATATATGAAACACAATATTGTTTTTGCTTTACTTTGCAAAAATACTTTACATTGAATTTTATATTTCACACAGAATTTACACTTCAATGTAATTATATGGACAACACTTACTATTTATTGATTCACAGCTATGTTTGTAAGTGAAGTACCTCTCATATAACTTCATAGATAAATAAAGTGCATGTATAGCATACACGACAGTACATATTAGTATTGCATCTTATATTTTGTTATCAATTCTCTCTCTCTCTCTCTCTCTCTCGAATTTAACATACTTTACAAGTTAAGCTTCAATATATCCAATATATAGATACACAGACAAAATCGATGGCATAAATTGATGTATCACTTTGCAATGTCTATGTATTTATACAGAATATTTATATAACACACACACACACACACACACATATATATATATATATATATATATACATGATATAGCAAACTATAATTTTATATATTCAGTATAAACTAGAATAAAATATGCCCCAGGTTGTAACTATAGAAAGTTAAAACATAAAAACAATCATTTCAATTCACTTCATGTAATGTAACCACCATGCTAATAATAATATCATTGAATTTTGCAAAAAATAAAAAAAAGTTTTGCAAATCATCTATGTTTAAAAATGAAAAGTTAGCTACAGTATATAAATATAGTTAGTTAACGTAAAAAAATATTTTATTTCGATGGCAATCATTTAATTTATAAAATAAACTGAAATTTTGTTTGATCACAACCAACAAAAAATATTTGTGTTTCAAATATTTAATCTATCAATAAATACACAGCAATATAAACCAACTAAAAACAACACAATTGCTAACTAACTACATGTATAATGCAATTAAAAATAATACATTTAAGAACTGTAATATAAATTTTTATATACCAGTATTAATATTACATCATTAATATAGATAAACCATAGATTTTTATACAATTCAATCTACAATAAAAGCATTTTTCTGTGTCGTTCTTATAAAACTAATAACAATAATAATACCGGTTTGTCTAGAGATATAACTACAATTCAATACATTTGTCTGTATATATATTTATTATTAGAAAAATAAAACATATATTTTATATTTGCGCAAATAAATATATTGTATAATTTATATTTGTGTGTTTGTAGGGAAGGGGAGAGAGAAAGAGACAACCGGTCGAGTTTGACTGAGTTAGGTAAACACCATTAGCCGGATCAGGTTGGATGAGCACTAGGATGAACACAATTACATTTACTCACTCACTACATACTGTATTTATATATAATACATATACAGTATACACAATGTAAAACATATATAGATATATCTCTATAATGTTTACTTTAGTGAAACACACGTAAAGATTGTCCTCAAACTCATATATATATATATATATATATATATATATATATATAGAGAGAGAGAGAGAGAGAGAGAGAGAGAGATGGATTAGGTCAGAAAAAGTCATTATGTAATAAACCAAATAAAAGCTCTGACATCACATATAATACACAAATTGATTATATCTAATGCTTACAAAAAATATCATAATAATCACATTAAATATCTTTTTAAACTTTTTAATATTATATATCCATTGAGTTAAAAAAAATGTATCAATGTTTTATTGCTATTATTAAAATTAATTTACAATATTTTCTATTAAGAATTAATTTCAAAATCAGTTATTGTAGTTATTTATAAACAAAATTTTAGCTTTTTCACAATACATTAAATATTTAAAATAAACAAATAATTTTTGTATAAAAACAAGTTTTGGAGTATTGGAAAATTGATAAAATGTGTGCTTAAAGATTATTTTAAAATATTCATGCAAAACATAATAACAACAATAATAAAATCACTAAAACATAAATTGAAATATTATTATTATTATCTTGAATTGTAATGTATTGAATAATAATATTGTTAAAGTAAATCTTTGTACAAATAATAATAATGTTAGTAATATTATTGTGTATTATTTCATGTAATCTGCGTTTGCATTATCAGTACTTAGATGTCTATATATAAGCTAAATGAAGATATAAAATGTACAGAATATTTAATAAAGTGCAGGTTTTTGATGTTAATATAAATATCGACAATACGTTTCGTATTGATATAAAAGAGAAATCAGGGATCAGACAATGTTTTCGGCCAATTTGACTCCCATTTTAGGAGTTCCTACTTTAGGAGAAAAGCTACTTATAATAGACAATTACACACTCGCCACACGTCAAATAAAATTAATATAATCATGTATTGCTAGAACAATATACTCAACATAAATATATACATAAGTTTATATAGATATATAAATATTATTATTACTGCTATTTGTGTGTTTATTATTAATAAATATTAATTTTAAAACAAATACTACTTTATATATATATTAAATCTTAAATTTAAAAAAAAAATTAAAAAATCATTGACCCATAAAATTCACAAACTATTTGTTATAATTTAAAAGATATAAATAAATAGTCATATTATTATATAAAGCATATATTGTTTTTTAAAAAAAGTAAGAGAGAGAGAGCACAGATGAGCAAATAATATAGAGATATGCTATTTGCCATCAATTGCCAGTGAATATAACAATTTGATATTATTTTTATGAGTTTGTATACCTATAGTGAGTGATATAAACATTGAAAAAAGGAAAGTATAGTCAATGCTATGGTAAGGGCTCTCCGGAAATGAAGATTAATGGCGACCGACATGAAAGTCATCGTCAAATGGATCGACACGAGAGTGAAGAGAATACTATTAATAAAACAGTAACACAAGTAATACCATACAAGCCATCACTCTATCTATAGCTATACTCTATGTTTACTACCATTTGCCCTCATAGTAGTCAAACAAATATACTGTATATACATATATATATATACAGTATATACATATACAGTATTGCACATACATTGTATTGTGTGTTGAGAGCATTGTTATAATGACTGGCAATATGTTTAGAAAGTTGTATAATATATATATATATATATATATATATATATATATATATATATA